CAATCTCCATTCTCTTATATGGATGTGAAACGCGGACACTGTTGGTAGATACAGAGAGAAGGATCCAAGCGTTTGAGATCAAAACTCCTTGACATTTTCTCGTGGGAACAAAAAGAAAACAATGAGTTTATGCGGAAAAGTGTTGAAAGTTGTGTGGGACAACAGGAATCTCTTCCCGCCACTGTCAAACGGAGAAAAAATGGCGTAGTTTGGACAAATTACAAGGCACGGTAGCCTGTGCAATACCATCATGTAAGGCAACATTGACAGTGGACGTAGCAGAGGACGCCAACACAAAAGCTTTTTGGACAATGGCAAACAATGGACAGGTATGACTGTACCAGAATTTTTGCTGGCTGCTGTCGATAGACTGTTGTGGGTTGCGGTTAGTTTTGCTTCTGCATTCGGACCCCGCCCCCCCTACGGTTGCAAAAGTCAAGGGAATAATGATGATGATGATGATGATGATCACACAAAAAATGTCCCAAAAGCCAATGAAGTCAGAATTTTACTGAAAATATTTTTATGAGCGAAAGAAGTTTTAATTTGATAGATTCATTTTCTACGGTTTATCAACCCTTTGCAGGTTATTTAAAGCCAGAAAATACTTTTAGAAGCATTTTTGTTTTAGATAATTATAGTTTAGTAATGGTTAGTCTTACTAAATAATTGACCACTGGCGGGAGAAGAGGTTGAGTCATACTTTTTCCCAGGATGATTTGCCCGCAAGTGAATATAACTAACGCAACCAGAATTTGAACTCACCTGTCAGATTAACAATTCCGGGCATTTACACGTTACACCCACCAGAGATCCGAGCTTACAGCACCTGGTATTCCCAAGCGGTTACCCATCTAGATACTGACAAGGCTCGACGTTGCTTACCTTCAATGGTCGGGCGTCAGAAGAGGAGGTAAGAAGTTCAGTTTATGAGGTTTTGTAGGAATTATAATGATTAACCCTAGAGTAAGTTTGTAGTTATTGGGAAAACATCCTATTGGAGGTCTGTTCCAGATGAAAAAAAAATATCCAAATAGTACTTCATCTTACTAATGAAATACGAATGGAGTGAGGGTGATTCGTACCAGTGCACATGGCATAACAAGTATTCGATGCAAAGGTCAGGGTTGGGGAAAGGAAGGAATATAGCTTCCCTAGACGCAAGCTGATAGTGGCTCGCTGGCGGACCGCCGATAGCAACGCCAGCGGTCCCCTTGCGGCAGCCAACGGTCCCCTTGCGGCAGCCAGCGGTGGGCATCTAGCGTTCCGCCAGTGTTACCGAGAAGAACATATCGGCGGTCCAGCTGTAAGCGCTAGTGGCATCCAACCCAGTGGTAGATTGGGGGTGTCAGCGTGTAGGGCAATGGTATGTCATTCTGTAGCATCTCGCCCAGAGGCAGATTGGTGACGATATTCAGTCAACCCCCCCACGATGGTGTCATGTGGCACAAGACCTTTTTAACGTGGGCATTCTGGGCCCGTGGGCTCGGCAAAAATAAACCCGTATAAACAGGTTCAGGGCCGGTTTACCTCCCCGAAGGATACTCCGCTCTTCGGTGTAGCCTCCTTCGGGTTCCTCTCCGTCCATAGACAGAGAGTTGAACCGAACAGTCGCTCAGAAAGTGAGCGTCTGACGATATTGAGTCCCCCCACGAGGGTGTCATGTGGCACAAGGCCTTTTTAACGTGGGCATTCCGAGTCCGTGTGCTCGACCAAAAATATGCCCATTGAACCCGTATAAACGGGTTCAGGGCCGGTTTTACCTCCCCGAAGAAGACTCCGCCCTTCGGCGTAGTCTCCTTCGGGTTCCTCCCGTCCGTAGGAAGAGAGTACAACCGAACAGTCGGTTCAGACTTGAACGACTGAGGCAGATTGGTGACTGGCATGTAGGGTAGTGTCAAGCCACCTAGTGGCAGATTGATAGCTTACATGTAGAGTCGTCAGTGAAGGCCGTGCAACATTTCATGTGTGCGAGAGGGATCGTTGGTTGGAAAATAGTTCCTCACCCACAAGCCCTTTTTTTTGGAACGCTTCTGAATTCTATCCAGAGAGGGAAGTGAGAACTTCGCAGTTTCAGCCCTGGCATGGCAGCAATATATTATTTTTAGTTTGATCTGGCTCTTGTAGAAATAAAAGTTTGAATGCATTCTTGGTTAAGCAGCGAACTTTTCAGTATCCTCTTCTGTAAAATATAAAGTCAATATTTTATATTGTAAAGAAAGAACGCGGAGCCAATCTTTCAGATACACTGAATTTTAATACATTCTTGGCATCTATGGCATCTTGAAATCTTGGCATCTATGGCATCTTGAAATCTTGGCATCTATGCATAACAATTTGTTTTGTTTTGCAGGAAATTTGTAAGATAGTATGCACATTAAAATTGAGAATGCATTTAACATGAGTTACGTTTTTATATCCAAATCAAATATTTAAATTAAAATTACACTGTCATCGCCTCTCGGACTCCAATCACGAGTCACAATGAATTATTATTCCCTCAGTTGATTTCAGGTATGACTCACTAATCCCTCGCTGGGCACACATTGCCTAAAATAGTGAAGACGCATAGATCGTACTGAATTTTAAAAGCGGTCAATTAAAATGGAGAAGATTTTAATTCAGAAACAAACATTAAGTAGTTTGTAAGACGGAAAAATAATCCATTAGCCACAAGGCCGAGTGGACGCTTTTGCACACGATCGAGATTTGAAAATGAAGACTGAGCAGCTTCTGTACACACACACACACACACACACACACATATATATATATATAGTTAAATTCCCAGATGAATTCTGTAGACAAGACAGATTGGTATCAAATGACTATTGGAAAAAAAAATCTTACATTTTGCCCACGCGTTTCGTCTTGAAAAAGTCGGAAGACGAAACGCGTTGGCAAAATGTAAGATTTTTTTCCAATTGTCATTTGATACCATATATATATATATATATATATATATATACTTTATTTTAGGATATTACATCAAAAACATGTACAACGTTACACACATGCAATCCTGTTTCGATGCGTATTAATGCATTTCATCAGGCGTTAGTAAATGACTGGTGAGTAGGCAATTTATCGGGATTAAGAAAAAAAATACCCCCTCTTTATATGAGAAAAGGAAGAAAAGAAAGAAATAATAAAGAAAGAAACATGATACACCGTCTTTTCTCGAGAAAAAGAAAGAATAAGAAAAAGAGTAAGAAAGAAAAGAGAGGGGATAGTAGCAGGTGTTTTTTTTTATATTCATATCAACCAATCAGAATCGTCTACACTAAGTTCAAAGTAAGGGGAAAAACGAAAGAAACAATAATACGAAAGAGATGATGACCCACAGATTTAGAATCGTAGACGGCATCTAAACGTGATATTTGGTACGGATGTAAATTGGCTACAAAAGTTATACATTACACAACTCTCAAATCCTATGGGAGAAGAAACGTAATTTAACGAGATACTCGACAAACTACATTACGCTGTGAGTTAAAAATTAACAATTCACATTAGTATAGTTAGTAGATAAACCAGCCCTTTAAGAAATAAAAGGAAAGTTTAAACAAATAAATCTAACAATTTTTTAAAAACATATAGAGCTGATAAGATTATTTAAACGTATAGATCAAACGAAATTATTTAAACCTATATATCAAACGAAATTATCTAAATACATTGATCATTCATGATAGAATAGATTACAACTGTTAACTAAAGAATCTTTATATAAGATGTTAATAAAATCCATCAATGCAAAATTATAAAACGCCAATACATCTATACTAAATATTATCAACACAACTAGAAAATTAAGGGAAAAATGATACTACATCGAAATTGATCTTATTGACAGAAAGATAAGCCTTATATGGTGTAAGAAGATTTAAGTAAAATATAAGAAGAAGCAATTGTCAAATTTCAAAGTCTAGCAAGATTGTAGAGTCAAAGGTATGACATGTTTACAGTTAACCGTTAATTCAAATCTTTGATTTAATAATGCGTCACTATTCAAGAACCTGATAATCTGCATTTTTCTGTACACTCAGAAAACAAGATTCATATAAGGATTTACATGTCCTTGGCAGTTTTAAAATTTTCCATTTCACTTTAGAAGTTTTATTTTCATCTTCCAACCTCCAAAAATATTTTGAAAGTGAAGTATTATTTCTATAAGTATTATTACTAAAAGACGATATCACCAGGTTTTGAAAGAATTCTTAGTACTACCAATATAGAACATTTCAACCCTCGGATTTTCCATTGTAGAGATAGAACTATGATACACAACGGATTTGGTTAAATTAAATTAAATCAAAGAGTTGAATTCACAGTTAATTCTAGGCCATTCCGATTTGTCGATCTGAATATAAATTGAACAATCCTTGCTACTATGCTTTCACTTCTCTTTCTTACTCTTTTTCTTATTCTTCCTTATTTCGAAATATATCCCAGCAGCGCCATGCCAGTTATGGCGGTAGCAATGAATGTACGGACGAATGGTAGATTTATAAATGTTTAAAATGGATGCTGACGCGAAAAACCGTATTTTGTTTCCTTGAAATATTGATACTGAAACGACGTATCGAAGTAAAATTAATTTTTCTTCATAAGACATCGATCCTACCCATTCTAGCTTCTTTGCTAGGAATCTGAACATTTCAATGTAACAGTAATACAGATTTTCATAAATTTTCCATTGCTTCCGTTTGAAATATGTGGTCTTTCATATTGGGGGAGCAGTCGCCGGCATATAAAACAAAGTTTTCCCGAAAAGCAATAACGATATTATTTGTTTGTCATATCGAGTCGAGTATCTATTCGAAATTCTATGAATAAATGCAGAGATTATGAAAAGCTGCCCGCTTTCATTTACTTCCCTATTCGAGATTAATTTACATCTGCGCCATGTACGAGAATAAATATCGTCTGATTTATTTGAAATTCAGGGAAGATGTTTTGTTGTCAAATATACTTGATTATTCTGTTCCTTCGGTTTTTTGCTTTTGTAGCCTCAGCACTTTATCTTTTATTATTGTAATTAATCCACTCCAAGCAAAACGATGAAGCAAATTGCAACAGGGAAATTAATTAAAAATCACCGTACTTTTTCTAACGGTACGTGTTGTGTAAATTTCGTAAAGGATTTTTTTTTATTATTTGTAATACCTTAAAATGCAGATTTGTTTATTTTATGCGACAATGTAGTTAAATCCGTAGATTCAAATACCACATCTCGACTTCAATCCTTTTCCAACCGCTATAACTATGACTCCTTGGGTTCCATTCTACAAATATTTTCATAGCAATTGATAGGGTGAACACTTCTTTTTGTCACCGTGACTTTTCGATGAAATAAAGGTTGTCTTGAATGGCCACTCTCCTAGATCATTTTAAATAAATGCATATGTCCACTAGAGCTCGGGCTTATTTTATTCTTAATTTTTGTTATCTATGTCGAAAATACAATTATTTATTCCTATCTTAACTGTCTGATAGACGTGATAGTCAAATTGGTAGCCAATCTCGAAAATGACCGTTATTTATAACTGGTGTAAGAAATGCTTCCTTAATTTTAAGACCTCCTTAATAAACTGATCTCTTTAAATCGTATTAGAGAACTCTGTTTTGTTTCCATCTGCTATGAATTGGATTGATTATATCGAATCATTATGTTAAGACTACTGCTATGAAAGATGATTCATTGTTTTTTCCTAGACAATTATGTCTACCCGAATCTGTCTTGCACCTTTCTAAGTATACCATTCATCTGTGCATTGAGTAGATGGCTACATTTGGTCTGGTACTTTTCCTGTGTATCTAGAGTTCCTTGACAAAGTCCAAAGAATGATCCGTAAGGTGACCTGGCATTTTAATCATTTTCCCAACGCCGTAATGTACGTTCCCTTAGCCTTTTCTATAAATATTTTCATGATAATTATTCTGATGAACTTTATTCATTGACGTATTTAAGCGCGGTACTAGTGAAGTCGCATAATTTCACGGGTGAAATTGCTAGATGTAAGCGTAAGTTTGATTCCAATATTTTCCTCTCTCCCACTGTCAATATCTCTATTTAAATGCAATGTCAATCGTCATCTTTGTTCTTGAATCCTGTTTTTTTCTTCTCAGTAACGGCTTTTCAGTACCACCCCCCCCACTTGCGTCTTAGTGGCTTTGTCAACTTGTTTCGGGGATAAAATTACTAAAAACAAATAACTGCAATGTATGATTTAGTAATTTATGTGATGAACAAGTCATTAAAATTAGTTCCCCAAAACGGAAATTATTTATAGTGGGTTTCCATGTATAGCTTGTTGTGGTACAAGACTAACAGTATGGGGCACCTAGTGAGGATCTAACTCACTACTCAGTTGTAATTGATCTCGCAACACAAGCTTGGTAACTATTACACCATGCGATAAGTCCTCAAATAATGGAAATTACTTCTGACTCAAATTTATATGTATAGAATATAATTGAATTTATTGATTTTGTTTAGTAGTATAACAATCTTATTTAATGACGAAATCTGAATATTTTGTACACAATTTTATGGCTTCAACTAAACATATTTTGAATGCAATTTTATGCTTTCAACTATGTATGCTTTTTTCACAATTTTATACTTTTAGGATAAACGTATCTTTTATAGATATATAGTTTGTAGATGATACTATTGCAGGTGTTATATATTTTGGTATATGTCTTTAGGGTAGGATATTATGTTGACTGTTTCAAATAGTTTTCACGTTTCTTGGTACTATGTATAACCTACAAGTAGTAACTTAGTACATTCAATTAAAATGTATCACAAATAGTTTTGCATTTTGAATGTTTTCAGCGCGCCTTTATCAGTATTCTTTTTTTTTCAATTCGATGAATTAATTATAAAAAATTATATTGTTATGTTTTAAAAATGTATTCCTGTTCTTCTTAAGAAAATTCTGAGACAATTTCTCTTTTCGTGTAAATGAAAAAAAAAGTCTAGAAGAAAAATATTAACGATTTTAATATTTTCAGATAATTTTCTCATTTTTTTTTTTTTTTTTTAGTATGTATTACTTATAGGTAGTAAGTAAGTACAATTAGATTAAATGTGTTTCACCGGGAGTGCGGCCATCTTCATTCATCAGCAAATATGAATAGCTGAGGTATTTGTGGCCTATATGGACAGAATATAATTGAATTTTCTTTGGAGAATAATGATGATAAACAAAAAATATAACTGAAAATTAATTATGACTTAATTTAAGAATATTAAAAAGTCGGAGCCATGATTTAAAGACCTTATCTGACGCCGAGGTTTGAAATTTTCATATTCTCCGAATGTCTTCAGGTATTTGTCGATGGCATTCGATCAGAAATCATTATTTTTAATTCATGAAGAAATCGAATAGACTTCTAACGTCTCCATGCTATTTTTTTCTTACCGATTATTTTTCTTTCTTTTTTCTTACTTCCCAATCTGTCATGGCGATCGCCACTGCCCACTGACATAAAAATATGTTATGTACTTCTGATTTATCGTTCGCATTTCTTTATGAAAGTTAACTTATAACGAATAGGTCGCTATATGTCTTTGAATTAAGCAGAAAGCTTTACATGGAGCCATACGTCGCTTGATTAATTTTCTATTTCTAATTAATTAAATCAGTGTAATTAGTCCGAATTGCGTTCGTCTTCAAAAACTAAAAAAAAAAAAATATTTATTAGAAGTCATAGGGATTATCTTTCCAGATTCACTGACAATCGACGCCCCCACCCCTAAAAAAAGGCACCCGGCCTCCCTCTGACCGTCTTTTTCTTTCCATTCGGAAATTTAATTAAATATTGAATTCCCATTTCTTTGAAGACTACAATTGTGTAATGACAGAACGTGACCTTTTCTCATGACAATATTTTTCCCGAAATTCAGACATTCTAAATTCTATTAAAATCACTATGAATATTTTAATTTTAAAATATGCTTTCAATTATCTTTCGACAGAATGGGAGTTAAACAAAGATCATCTCACGAAGAGGTAACCATAATATCATATAATAACAATAAAAATCACACGCCAATAATTGGTGGTTAGCAAAATATTTTCACATACAATTGAAGAGAGTTTTGATCCTCAAAAAATGCTCAAATGATGTTGCCTTGTGTCAAAATAAGCTAAATATATCAAATAAGACAAGCTAAGTATTCGTTGCTTACTTGAAGGCACCTTCGTTCCGTCTTAGCTTGGATCCTGTATGACCGCTCGTATCAAGGTATGCCTGTCAGCTAAGGCGGCTACCCTATCCCTACATTATTTACATTATTCGCACTATTGTCCTCATCTTTTTCGCCATATCTATCACAACGTTTCGGCTGTTGTACGCTCCGGCCTTCTAAAGGTGGTTGGAATGTCGAACCGAACCCTTTATTTCGCTCACTGGGGTAGACTGTTCTAGTTCCACAAGAACGCATGGCACAGTGGATAAAGGCGTTGGTTAGATCCAGTGACAGGACCCAAAGAGTGTAAGTTCAATACCCGGTTAAGGCAGTGGAGAACTTTCAGAGGGAAATTAACAGGAGATAACTGATAACTGACATCCATTAAACATGGCACGTAGAATTAGAACAGTCTACCCCAGTGAGCGATATAAAGGGTTCAGTTCGACATTCCAACCACCTGAAGAAGGCCGGAGCGTACAACGGCCGAAACGTTGTGATACATAAGATGAGGACAATAGTGCGAATAATGTAAATAATGTACATAGTACCTCATCTCAGAAATATAAACGGTACCTAATCCCTGTTGACACTTGCTCGGTTATTTCTTTCCCTGTTCAGAGCTAACCTGAGGTTTATACTGTAATTTTGCAGAGCAGACCTTACGGTTTCTTGGATAAAAGCGCATACGTTGACGTGATCACCAGTTCTAACAAGGCCAGTACGCCCACACCCTCGGTCACGATGACTTGTGTCTACTTCCGAATAGTTTCACTCGTACAACCCTTGACTCATCCGGTATCCACCCGTCTATTGAGTGTCATACACATAAACCCATCGTTGGTTTGGGACATCGTCTCAAAATTAGACTCTTATAAGGCTAGTGACTAGGACGGGATACCAACCGTTGTTCTGAAGAAATGTGCTCCTGAACTGGCACCACTCCTCTCCAAACAAATATAACTATTGACTCTTGCTTTCCAGCCTGTTGGAAGACCGTATCTGTTGTCCTTGTCTTTATGGACTCTGGAGATCCTATCAGTCTCCTAGCACTCTTAGGCAAAGTCTTCGAGGCTTTAATCAACGCTGAAATGGTTAAGGACCTTACATCCCATGATCTGCTCTTAGACAAGCAATATTCTTTCCACTTTGCCCGGTCCACCGCTGACAGGCTCACGGCCAAAACTGAATTTGTATACCAAGCACTTGACAATAACGGAGAAGCTCGGGCCGTAGCCCTAGATATCTGTAAAGCGTTTGATAGTCTGACACGCTGGCCTTCGTAAGCTTCAGGGACACAGCATTACTGGACGATTATTTGACTTGATAAAATCATTCATGTCAAACCTTCATGGTCGTTCTAAACGAGTTCTCTTCCAGTTCCTTTCACACGAACGCTGGTGTCCCCCCAGGCTCTATCCTGGGTTCTACACTGTTCCTGATGTTCATCAACGATCTTACTGATGTCATCAACTCCCAAGTTGACATCTACATTGACGACACTATTTACTCCTGCCTTAATAGTAAATCCGGCATCGTTGACAAAACTAACCTGGGCGTAGGCCTCGAGAAGGACCTCCAATTTGTTATTGACTCTCGCAGGAAATGACTTGTAAACTTTAATGCCTCCAAAACGAAACTGCTCTCATTTACCCACCACATAGAACCCTCCCTGCCTCCCATCAGGATGGCTGATGCCCAACTTCACGAGAGCGCCTCTTGGTCTCACGCTGTCCACTGACCTGAAGTGGAACAACTACATTGAATCTATAGTTTCATCTACCGCAAGGAAATTTGTTTCTTTGAGTCGCCCCAGAGGGTTTTTCTCGGCTGAGTCCATCCTTCAAAACAACTAATAAACCATTCGTCCTTGCATGGAATACTGCTGTCATATATGGTTGGGTGCTCCCACTGTTCATCTCGAGGTCTTCGACAAAATCCAGAGACGGATATGCAACGTGAATGGTTCTGATTTGGCATCCCGGCTATATTTACTATCTCACAGACGTGCTATGGCTCCCCTCTGTTTTTTCTACGGGTATTTTAATGGCAATTGCTCTGACGAGATTCTTTCTCTGGTTCACAAACTGCATGAATTTAAGCGTGCTACGAGGTTGGCATCTCGCTTCCACCCTTTCACTGTTGAAACGGCTGAATGTAGCCGTTTCTTCTACTCCAAAAGTTTCTCGCACCTCCTGTCTGTGGAATTCTCTTCCTATCACTTGCTTCCCTGATAGCTATAATCTTCAAATATTCAAACGTATTGCCAATTGTCATCTTCTGACTTGACCTTGATCCTCTTTCTTCTCTTTATCCTTTTCCCAGATACTCCTCTTTTCTCTTAGTCTCATTCTCTGTAACTCCTTGCGTGCTAGTGGCTCTTCCACCTTGCTTGGTGTGATTTGATGAAAAAAAGAAAAAAAAAGAAAAAAGACCCTTCCCAACGATATGGCTTTGCAGACAACATGCATTGCGAAGAAGATGAACACGTCCGTCTGGGGAAGAACCTGGATGTAACCAGATATGCTATGAAGCTTAATTCTGAAAAGAAAGAAAAAATACAAATTCACGGTGAATAATTAAAACAGGCTTTCAAGCAAGATATATGTCGACGCTGAAAAACAGTGAAGTAATGAAGTAATTCGATTATATTTGCTGGATTATCAGTGAAGAGGACACCAGAATATAAATATTTTCATGTTTAGTATAATTAGTGTAGTTGTCCGAAAACTAAAACCTATCTTGAAAGACGAAAACATTTGTCTGACAACAAAGAGTAGATGGTCATATGTATTGGTCTTTTCAATCATTCTGTACGCTTGTCAATCTTGTATATCAACAGTAAAATTCCAGCAAAACGTCCAAGCATTAGTAATTGAATGTTACGGAACCATCCATCATAAACCTCATTACAAACGGCGCAGAGTGAAATTTCATCAGAAAGAAAGAAAGAAAGAAACAAAAAAAAAAACAATTTACAGAAGGACCTTATAATCATAGACAAAAAGATGAAATGGCATAGACGCATTATAAGAGCCAAAAATCTTTCCATTGCCATCCAAACAGTGTATAACCTAGGAAAAACAGAATATGAGGCAGACAGACGAAAGAACAGACTTAAAAAATATCACTGTGTGAACTGGAAGATCCTTCCGCCAGACTCTAACATTGGCATGCGATCGAGATATAATTGTCTCGGTTGCCTGACAATGTTTGTATTTCTCTGAAGGAGCTGATCAGGGGCGCTGTTACTATATGGCCACACCCGGCCACTGAGGTAATGATGACAATAATAATGATGACCTCTTGAGAATTGGTGCGATGGTTAAATTGTCGTCATTTTATATTCTTAATCTCGCGCATGCGCGTGGTCTGTTTTCATTTGTGTTGACAGCGCAGTATACTAGGGTCAGCTGAGCACCGTCTGTGAGAAAAAAGAGCACCATGACGCAATTCATTCCGCCAGAAAATTTGAAATGGCACGCTGTAATGCTTGGCATTCGCACCGGAAGCTCCAATACAGTTTCCTCAGATTGGCTCCCAATTTCAGAGTGTTTGGGAGGCAATCTGAGGAGAGTGAAAAGGAATCGGAAAGAGATGGATTAGATTAATGGGGATTATGTCGGTACGGCCGCTCAGGAAACTCACTTTAATCATCCTGATGAGAACATAACGCTACACCATGACACACAAGTAGGTGAATCTAGTCATGGCCGTCAGATAATGTATCATTCCTTACATCTGGCCATCTAACTCCCCAAAATGCAACCCGCTTCATTATTATGTGGGTAGTGCAGTTGAACGGGACACCAACAAAAATCTTTTTAAGACGAAACATGAACTGAAGGTAAGAATTATGGCAGCATTCACCAACTTAAACAGAAGAAGAAACTGAAGATCCCGAAATCGTCTGGATGCCATGGGTGAAGCAAATGGCGATTTTATTCAATAAATTTACTCTTTCGTATTTCAAGATATTTTTGTGTAATATTGGTAAATACATCTGTTAAAATAAGTTGCCAGTGTTATTTTCATTTTTGCTTAATTTAGATGACAATTTATCTATCTCATCCTGGAAATATGATCGTGATGATCATGATGATCATGGAAAAGAAATCAACCTTCTTTATCAAGGGTTCAAAGAGTTAGGACTTAAATTAACCATCTCCAAGACAGAAACTATGATCTGGAATTAAAATTAAAGTAGTGCTAACAGAAGTAGATTTTGAGTCGTAGTCTGCGCTTAGAAAGTTTGCGAGCCAAACAGTGTACGACTTCCTGACTCCGATGCAGCGAT